CCTTCCCCCGCAGCGGCGCCGCGGGATGGACATCAAGCAGATGAAGAACTTTGTCTCCCAGGAACTGAAGGGACTGAAGCAAGAGCATCGTCTGCTGAGCTTGCGTAGGAGCCTGAGGGGCGGCCCCCAGCCACTGTGGTGGGGGGCTCTGGGGAGGCTGGGGGGGCTGGAGGGCCCTGCTAGTCCCCAGGAGGGCAGATCTGAGCAGGGGGGCTGCTGGCTGATTGCTGGTGGCAGTGTCCTTGGTGGGGCTGGGGACAAGGGGGACCTGTCACTTCTCCTCTTGGCTCTGCAGATATCGGCGCCTGTGAATCCATCATGAAGAAGAAAACCAAGCAGGACTTCCAGGAGATGATCAAGGCTGAACACTGTGAGTGCTGCACCCTGAGCCACAGCTGTGGCTACTCCATCCCAGTTCTCTGCCCTGACCCCCTGGCCCCATGCCCAAGGCAGCCTCACACCTGGGTGTCCCCTGCATGGCCGCAGTCCTTCCAGTTTGTATTGGGGTGGCTCTGGAATAACAGTCATGGAATTGTTTTGGTTGGAAATGACCTTTAAGATCTAGTCCAACCATTAATCCAGCACTGCCAAGGCCACCACTAACCCATGTCCTCAAGACATGCAGATCCTAAATGGAGTGAAGCCACAACCTTGGAGGGCCAGTATGTGTTGGGGTGGGAGGCCCAGCACCCTTCCCTGGCCTCGGGGAGGGAGGCTGAGCCCATGCTCCAGTTTGTTTCCCTGGTGAGGACACTGGGGTGGGTGAGGTGACTCTGCTCCATCCCCCTGTAGCCCTGCTGGAGGGTTTTGATATCCGTGAGAGCACCAGCTTCATCGAGGAAGGGCGGGTGGGGCGGTGCGGGGGCTGGGGGGCAGTGGGCCCCGGGCCTGTGGGGCTGGGGGCTGCAGCCGCTCACCCCCTGCCCCGCAGGTGTCCCCCATCGAGAGCCTGCGCCTGATGTGCCTCCTCTCCATCACGGAGAACGGTGAGTGTCCGGCTGCACCGGGAGGCACCGGGGCCCCCAGCCAAACCCAGAGCTCACCCGGTGATCCCTGCAGGTCTCATCCCCAAGGATTATCGCTCCCTGAAAACCCAGTACCTGCAGGTGAGGGTCGGGGGCTCATTGCGCTCCCCAGGGACGCTTGGGTGGTCTTTGTGGGGTTGCTCTGAGAAGCCCCCCATGCCAGTGCTGATCCAGGGCTCCTTCCTCAGAGCTACGGGCCTGAGCACTTGCTGACCTTCCACAACCTGAAGCGCATGGGGCTGCTGGTGGAGCAGGCGCCGGGGGAGACCCTGACGGCCGTGGAGAGCAAAGTCAGCAAGCTGGTGACAGACCGTGCTGCTGGTGAGAGCTGGCCCGGCCCGCAGGGACCCAACCCCCAGGGACCCAGCCCCTCGGGCTGCCTGGAAGGCTGTGACAAATGCCAGCACTGTGGGCAGGGAGTGCATCCCCGGGGATGGTCCCATGGGCAGCAGTGGCTCTGCCAGCTCCAGGGGCTCTGCCTGTCCCTCTGCCTCGCTGGTGCCCACGCTTCATCCAGAGGCCTGAGCTGTTTCTCCTTGTCTTCTTTTCCAGGGAAGATCACTGACGCGTTTAATTCTTTAGCTAGGAAGAGCAACTTCAGAGCCATAAGCAAGAAGCTGGGGTTGGTACGTGCTGGTGGGGCTGCTGGTGACAGAAGAACTGGGGGCAGCAGAGGGGGTCCTGGACACTGTAGGGGCGGTCTTGAGGCAGTGGCGGGATCCCAGGGTGGTGGAAGACTTGTCCTCCTTGCCCACCCCCACCTCTCTGGGGATCAAAGCACCAAGGCAGGTCCTGTACCCCGAGCATTGCCCGTCTCTGCAGATCCCCCGGGTGGACGGAGAGTATGACCTGAAGATGCCCCGGGACATGGCGTACGTCTTCAGTGGGGCCTACATCCCCTTGAGCTGCAAGATCATTGAGCAGGTGAGCCCTGTACACGTGCCCCCCAAGCCCTGGGTCCAGGGGGGCCCCTGGGGCTGGGCTGTTGGCCCCTGACCCTGAACCCCACCTGCAGGTGCTGGAGCGCCGGGGCTGGCAGGGCCTGGAGGAGGTTGTGCGGCTGCTCAACAGCAACGAGTTTTCAGTCTCAGGTAGCCCAGTGCTGGGCCAGGGGCTGGCAGGGGCCTGAGGGGGCCGGGGGGGCAGTGGGGGGGCGG